TTATCTATTTTATTGAGTTGGTTAGGAGAATATTTTATTTAGGAGAATATCTATTTCTTGTTTATTAAATTAGAAACTCTATTTATTATCAGTGTTTGATGGAATGATCGATCAGTTGATTGAGAAATAAAATATGTTCTTATGTGGTTTATCGAGAGAGAATCTCTTTTATATTTCAGATTCGTACATTTTGCCTACATCATTATTCTTGTTTTTCATGTGCAATTCACGTTGTCCAATTTTTTTTAGTTATTATTTTTGTAAAAGTAGTTTGTTTGACCATAAAGTGTCGAATAGGCTCCACCATGGTTAAAAATAATGCCTTCGTTCCCCGTAGCCCCATACCTCATTGGACTTCAAATATGTTTGAAGTTAGTTGGATAAATTGCATTGTTACATGTCCAACCTAATTAATTTTGATCAAATACATAAATTTTCAAATAATATTCAGCTCCAACTTGTTATAATGGACAAATTACTTTTTCTTTTTTTTTTTGTAGCCAGCCAATCCGTTGGTCGACTCGGATCGCACACTTGGCAGTGGTAGGTGAGTCTCCCAACAAGGGTTTTCTGCATCTACAAGGACTCGAACCCGAGCCTTACTTAAGCGACATCAAGTTGCTTACCACTTGAGCCAACTCATGTTGGTACAAATTACTTTTGTGTGTGTCATAATGAAGTAATAAGGTAAGTTAATTAATTATACAGTCCCGCTCACCTGCCCACGGTGGGCAGTGCCCACTAGTTTGTTTTATATGAAAAACGTATTCTGAGAATACGTTTTTCAATTAAATTTAATTAAAAAACGTATTCTCAAAATACGTTTTTCATATAAAATAGACTAGTGGGCATGCCCATCGTGGGCAGGGGAATATAATTTATTAATTATAAAAACCAATATAGTAAGGTATCAGATTGAAGATCAGAAAATTAATACTATTTTTTCTCAACAAAGTAGGTGTTGATATTCTAGATATGAATGTTACAAAAACAAAAAATGGATATTTTATAAACCAAATTGGGAAAAAAAATAATAATTTCATTATATAACTTAAATCAATATTATGCATGTTAAAAACAAATAAATTGTTGCACATAATTCTTGATCAAATTGTCCATATTTCCATGCACAATACTTTGAGGCTTATAATAAAATCATTCAAAACCCCAGCTGGGACAGGGCTAAGATAATCAAGAGTTAATGATAAATGCAAATATATCAGCATATAAATCCTAGCACAGATGAAGCAAATGATCAGAATGTAACTCTAATAACAAAATAAGGCAATTTGAAAGGTGTGAGCAAATTCAGAATCTTCCATGTCCATATACAGAAAAAAAACTAGCCATATCTGAGTGATCTTCTGTAGCAATATTTAACCTCTGTTAATGCTGATAGCATTTACATCACTTTTTTTTTTCATATTTGTTTTTTTTTTTTTTTTATTAAAGCAGCTGATGCACATTAGCTTTCTACTACAATGTCTTGCAGGTACATATGTAGATACTAATTTCGAGCACCTGATCATGAAGAAATGAAACTAACTGGTATTCAATTTTTCGGTTTACATGTTATGCTGGAAAATTAGAGACAAGTACAGTATGGAGATAGGGATAAGGAGAAGGAGCCCACGAATCTCAGCATCAACTGTCAACTATCAGTTATCGACTATCCACAAAAGAAAGCGAAAGTTTGGTGACTCGAATGTCTCCAAACTAGCCAAACAAGTTTGGAAGGTACAATCATGTATCTCTATATCTAAGTCAAAGTTTATCATTTTATAGTACAATGTCCATAATGTCTTGAAATATTGGTATTAGAAGCGTGATTATGTAACGCTCAGAGACTCCTTTATCGATTTTAAGGGGCAATTTTTTTATTTTTTTTTTTCACATATGTTTCCAATTAATGACTAATTACTTTATGTGCATGCAGGGGAGATGCAATCCTGAAGAAGCACATGATTATCGCTCGACTGATAGCGGTGAGTTATTTTTGGGGGACGATTTTTGTGTGTGATCATTTGAATTGAGAAGAGAGGTGGCATAACTTTAATTGTTTTTTTGTTGTGCCAAATAGTGGAGTGGAGATCTACTGGCGATTCATCTCAAACAACTATTCAGAAACATGATGGTAATTGGTATACATTGTCCCTTGTGACTTAAACTTTTTCTGTTTTGGCTAAATAACTCCTCTTAATTTAACAGACAAAGCGCCGATAATGCCAGACAAACCTGCACTTGAGCTTGTACTCGATACACTGCAAAGGTAATTAATTAGCTGTTTTCTTTGTGCTTGTTTGAAATAGCCAATTGCTCATGTGTTGTTCTTGTTTCAGGAGAGACAATTATGAAATATTTGCTGAACCAGTTGATCCCGACGAGGTAAATTTCCAATATTTTGTTCATTTAGCAGCAATGTGTACTATGTACAATATATATTATGAGACCTGCCTTTTGTTTTGTTTTGTTTGTTGTCATTTCCTAATTGCAAAGGTGGAGGATTACTATGAAATCATTAAAGAGCCGATGGATTTTGGGACGATGAGAGCTAAACTTCACGAAGGGATGTACAAGAGTCTTGAACAATTCGAGGTTAGGCCAATAAATTAATTCGACGACTATCAAATGTTCAATCCAATGTGATCAACTAATTAGTGTTGGGGCATTGTATTGCAGCATGACCTGTTTTTGATACCAGAGAACGCAATGCATTTCAATTCATCAGCCACCGTTTATTTCAAACAGGTATCAAGTGACATGAATGTAAAAACTTTTGATTCTGATCAGTTATTTTAATCATACTGCTGGTTTGATAAGATTATTTGTTATCTGCAGGCTCGTGTTCTACACGAATTAGCAAAGAAGGTTTTTGATGCCCTTAAAGCGGATCCGAAAAGCTTTGTTTCTAAATTTTCGGGTACGAGAAGGAGATCGATGAGGAAAGCACTGATGAACAGAAGCAACGACAAAAAGACATGTCTAAAAGATACGAAAACTCATCGTAATGTTTTTTCCAAGTGCAACAGCAATAGGAACTACAATCCAAGTGTCATTAGTCATCCTTCGAACAATAAAGAAGGAAGAGATGGTAGGTTAGCCGAATCAGCAATATTATCATTTAAGCCTCGCCAAACGCATGATTGTGGGTCATCTTCATCCTTGTACAACCTCCTCCAACACAACTCAACACCATCCCTTGTGGTATGACTCTCGTTTTTTTTCTAATCCGAGTCAAAACCTCGATCGTCTAACAATGTTCACATTTACTTTACTCTAGCTCGAAGAAAGAGTCAATATAAACGAAGTTTATAATAAGAAATACAACCATATTTTCGTGTTTCTTGTAAATTTAGTAATGGTTTGCATTTAATGCCTTGGTGGTAGATGATGAGGAATGGGGGAGAGTATAGCTACAAGGATAGCCTAATGTCGTTTGTCAAGGATTTGGGACCAACGGCACAAATGGTTGCAAAGCGCAAGTTGTTAGGGGACTCAAGTAATAATGTTCGGGTTGAGTTGAGTTCAACATCTATTGCTCCCATACAAAAGAAACCCGATGCCCATTTATCTGATCAAGTATCGTTATTTAAGACCTTCCGAGACTTTGCTTCAACAGCAGGCAACAAAAGCAATCCTTTACTCTACCTCCACAAAAACCTGGTATTTGCTTCGACTCAAAATATTCAAAATGATGCTCGAAATGCGGGAGAGAAAGTCAAAAGTAGTCGTGGCCATGATTTCGGAGTGAAACAAATTGCCAAAAAAGATGTTCCTAGTAATAATATTAGATCATCGGATGATAATGTTCGGCCAGTCATACTAGCTTTAGAGAACTATTGTCATTCTAATACTGCAAATGCAATGGATTTTAAGTTGAGGAACAAGAGAATGTTAACAACAGCCGGTGATGAGCAGCAGAGGAAAAAGCCATCATCCAACTCCTTCACTTTCGACCTTTCTTTTCTAAGAGCAAGATTAAATCAGATGAAAGCACCACCATCGTTACCATCACCATCTCTTTATAGAGGAGGAGGATTCAACTTGGCAATCGGGTCTCCTATTCCGGACAACCGTTTATTCAATTCTCACTTGCCCCTTCGGCTTCTTTAATAAGAGTATAATTGGTTCATTGTTGATTGTTGTTTACTACTTGGGGTTGTTTTCATAATTCATTAGCCTGTTTGGCCACTGGGTAACTCATGTTATATTGATGTAATTCCGGTTCAACTTCAGTGGAAATAGAAAGCATTGTCATATATGCACAATACATATCCAGTTTTACTATTATAACAATCAGCACGCATCCCTCACAAATTTTCATCAATTTAAAAGGCTTCATAGCCAATTCCTGCCACCCAAATACAAGTTTTGGTACAGCCAATAATCCATTTTGTATTTGACTGTTGAATAATTCCATAACGCAAAGATATTCAAACCCAGCAACTCAATTCCATGAGAAGGGTGAGGGGAAAAAA